GACCTGTGTGGCCACCTGCCGCGGTCCCCACACCTTCCTGGACGGCTCAGCTGGCGGCCCCCCTGGCTGCGGGAAGATGTTTTGCTGCCACCTTGTGGTCAAGAAGACCCCAGCCGGCTGTCAGCAGGAAGCTTGCCCTTACTGGGCTCTGAGAAGGACCTCCCCAGGCTGCCTGGCTCAGTGGCCTCAGCTGGGTGCGCCTCCACACTTATCAGGGGATCATCCGGCAAATATTTGAGAGGGACTAGGTACAAGGTCGGAGAAGGCAATGGCACCCCACTCCAGTACTCTTGCCTGGAAAATCCCAGGGACGGGGGAGCCTGGTGGGCTGCCGTCTATGGGGTCGCACAGAGTCGGACACGACTGAAGCGACTTAGCAGCAGCAGCAGGTACAAGGTTCCATGGGATTCCCGGGCCCAAGGCCGCCCTTCTTCCTCTCAGCATGGCACTGCCCCTCTGCACAGCATGCCTTTGCAGGGGGCTTTCTGTTTCTCCCGAGATATTCTGGGTTTGGTTGTCCCCGCCGCCCCCAGGCCACACAGGCGCCCTCTTCTCTGGTCCCCATACCCAGTCCAGAGCACCCGGCTCTAGAGTCAGCTCTCCTCCTTCTGACCTGCCTGTGCTGCAGACTGCTCATTGCTCAGCCTTCAGGGACTGCTGTCCATCCTCACCCAGGACTACACCCAGGAATGAAAGAGATTGTGTCTTCAGTTCCCCCAGAACCTTCCAGGGGGTCTCTGGGCAACAGATTCAGCCTGGCATTTCTGATGCCTTTAAGCACCAGACAACTGACACGAGAGCTAGCTTTATGGGATTTCCGTTTGGTTGGTGTGGCCTTAGCCTAGAGCTTTTTAGGACTGCCCTACTTTCCTTTGGGCTGTGTTGAGTGAGCTGTTGGCTGCATCTCTTTGGAGTCGAGTCTTGTGAGATGGAACATGGAGACCTTGTCCGTGACCGGGGCGGCGGCGGTGGCTGATGCCAGCAAGGAAGAGAGGTGTGCGTCTGCCCTGGTCTCCTTTCTGGGGCCTTTGTCTGGGCCTTTTATGTGCAGGCCGGTGGCCTTCTCTCTCTAGTCTCCCCGAGTCAGGAAAGGTTTCTGGGAAGAGGTAGGAAGGAGTCAGCCAGAAGAGGAAGAGGAAGCAGTGCCAGGTTTAATTCTTTATGGCTCTGCTGAGTCTTCATTGCTGTGCTGGCGTTTCTCTACTTGTGGGGAGCGGGGCTCCTCTCTAGCTGGGATGTCTGGGCCCCTCTTGTTGCAGAGCATGGGCTCTAGGATGCACCGGCTTCCGGAGTTGGAGCACTTGGGCTCAGTAGTTGTGGCCCCCGGGCTCTGCGGCACAGGCTCAGTAGCTGTGGCGCAGAGGCTTAGTTGCTCCGAGGCATGTGGGATCTTCCCGGGTTAGGGATTGAACCCATGTCTCCCGCATTGGCAGGCGATTCTTTACCACTGAGCCAGCAGGGAAGCCCCAGGCTCAGTGTTTTGCGTGGACCGATTCTACAGGTGCAGTGGGAGCTCAGAGCTAGTGTGTCCTCTGAGAATGGGCGGTGTTCTTTCACCTTCTGGACTGGGTACGGCTGCCTGCCTTCCTGGAGCCTGTCTGTGTGTGTCTGTGTCTCTCTGTGTGTGCCTGTGTGTGTGTGTCTGTAAGTGGGGGCCTTTTACTCTCTATTTCATCCTGCTCCTCTCCGCCTGAGAGTAGCCAGCTGGGTTCTAAAGCAGCTCATCCCCCCGTTGGGCACCTTTTCCCCGGTCCCTCTCTAGTGCCCACTTGCCTCTGATAGCTGCTGTCCCGTGCATGCATTTTCATTGGCTTGGGGAGAGGGTTTGGAATGAGCCGCCGTATTCTGCGGGGGAGGGGTCATCCCATATGTGTGCGTGAGACAGACTGATATGAACAAAGATAGGGAAGTTCGGTGTGTGAGGCTTAAACTTGGGAACATGAGTCAGGATTCCTGGGTTGCATTCTTGTCTCCACGCCTGAAGGATCCTGGGAAGGGCTCTTGTGCAGAACCGACTATTATGTGGGGGAAATGTACCCCAGAGAGCAAGGCGCCATCCTCATCACCATTAATAACCAGTCCCAGGAAAATACAGAATCACCCCCTGGGGCCCCAGAGATCCAGCCCGGGACTTGGAAGTTTCCAGCTCAAGGGAGCACCCAGGATGGAGGCCCTGCCTTCCTCAGGCATTCCCCCACCCCAGCCCCCTCTGGAATGTGCCACTTTTATCTTGTACTTTGCTTCTGACCAGGACCGTGGAATTCTAAAGCTGAGAGGGACAGATATGTTGGGAGTTGGGTTGGACTGGGGCTGGAGCAGACCTGGGAGTATTATGTCTTCAGAGGGAAACGCAAGCCCCCTCAACCTTGCCACTACTTAAACTGGTTTGTCCTGATCTGCTTGTGGTCCTTGTGGATTATGCTAAACTGGCCCATCTCCAGGACCCCGGAGAGGACTGACGCTTAAATGGCTAGTGGAGAGCACGGCACAGCATGACCTGCCCTCTGCCCCGTCCTTAAGGAAGCCCTGCATTTAACGAGTGCCTGGGGCAGCCCACGAAGGGCATCGGTGCTTGGAGTCAGCCTCCCACGAGGTCTGCCCTCTGCAGCTTCATCTCTGCACAGCCTCTGGACAAGAGGAGGGGGACCAGCAAGCTGGAGGAGGCAGGAGACTTCAGGGGCTCAGAAGTGAGTCACTCGTCCGGAACGGTACGGTTCAGGTCCCAAGGTTATCTTCTGATTTTCTGCCGCCCTTGGGCAGGACAGCACTTATCCTAGTCCAGGTGATTTTATAGTCTTCAAGGAAGAAGACAACCTCGGTCATTAACAGAAGAGCTGACTGAAACAACCAGCAACTGGGACTTGCAAGTTTCCCAACCTCAGACTGAGCCAGGAGCTAAGACAGGATCACCTCGTTCAGGCTCCGTGTTTTCCAGATAAGAAGCCCTCAGTGTAACTCCTGACTCATAATTTAGGCTTTTACCAGCTCCTACCCTGGTGGATCATCTTCTGGTTCTTCCCTGGAGAAAAGAGCGAATGGCCCACTTCTCTCCAAAACCGAGCCCAGCGCATGGTATGGCCAGGACTGTTATTTATTTGGCCTGCTCTTAATGACAGCTCCTCTCCTACCTGCCCCAACTGAGGAGGAGACCTGGGCTGGAATTTCCTGTTTTCTGAGGGCTCGGGGGCCGCCGCCGCCGCCGTTCCCGGGTGTTCCAGGCCAGGCTTGCCGCCTCTCTCGGTGCTGGGCTGGCTCCCGGCCTCTCCAGGTCTGGGCTTGCCGGCTTGCGAGGTGGAGGCGTTGAGAGACTCAGTCGGAAGACACCAGGTGCCCAGAGGCCGGAGGTCCGTGCGCCCCGGCCGCGGCCCCGGCCCGGGCCCAGCCCCGCGCCCCTCGCCATGGGCCTGGCCCTCGCCTGCGGGCCCTGAGCATGGAGCGGGGCTGGCCCCCGGCGGACAGCTGCAGCCGGGAGCGGCCCGCCGCCTGCCGCCGCGCCCTCAGCGTCTGCGACTCGCTGGACCTGCACGGCGCCCCGGCCGGCCGCGCCGCCTCCGCCCTGCAGGCCGCCCTGTTCGCTGCGCGCGAGCAGCCGGCGCGGCCGCGGAGCGTGTGCTCTGGCGGCCCGGGGCCGCCGCCGACCCCCGCCGGCGCCCGCAGCCTGCTGCTCGGACTCCTGCGCCCGCGCCTTGGCCGCCGCGGCACCCCCGACGGCCGAGCGTCGGCTCCCGGGCCCGCGCCCAGCCCCTCGCCGAGCCCCGCGTCCAGCCCCGCGCCGGCTCNCGGGGGGGGGGGGGGTGTTCGCCAGACGGGGCTGAACCGAGTGGATCAGCGCCCGGCAGGGTCTGGGGTCGCTGTTGGGTCTGAAGACGGTGGCTGTGGCAGAGGCGGGCTTCCTGGTGGGTCCCTGGAGGGCCTCCCTCCCGTGGCCCTAGTGAAGTGGAATGAGAGCCGAACGGAAGGGCGCCTTTCTTTCTCACTTTTGGAGACCCAGGAAGGGGCCCTGGGAGGGATGAGACTCACTCGGAGCTCGGGCCGGCTCTGGAGGGCGGGGAGGACGAGATCAGCAGCTGCTTTAGCTCCCAGGTGAGGCTCTAAGCTGCTTTTGCAGATGAGTTTAGGGACTGGACCCGCGAGTAGTAACTACTCTTGGAGGGAGCCTGGGGAGGGGGCGTGAGCCCCGCCCCCGTAGCCTGGTCCCTGCAGAGCTGCCTGGAGCCGGCCCCAGGATGTCCGTGCCAACCAAGAGGCTCAAGGAGAGGGGCCGGCCCTGGCAGGGGCTCTGGGTAGCGCCCGGGTGAGGCAGGAGCTGGGGATGGACTGGAAAGGAGGAGCGCTGGAGGCGGATCTCGGAAAGAAAGGGGGGTGGCTCCTGCCAAGGAGGAGCCTGGGGAGGAGGGCCGGTTGGGAGGGGCAGACGGCTCCTTGTTGGACCGGCCTCTCCCCAAACAGGGCCAGGTGAAGGGCTCCGCCCTCCTTGCTCACCAGGAATGTAGTGGGTGGCCCCACCCTGCGAGGGTGAGCTGTTCCTACTGGCTGTGGAGGCGGGCCCCCAGCCCAGCTTTGGGCCTGGCGAGACCCACTGGAGCGGCCTCTCACCAGGCGGGGGCGTCGGCCTGGAGTGACTCAAGGTAGTAGCTTGTTAAGAGAGCAGTAAGAGAAGGGATCCTGTCCTCCCAGGCAGGAGAACTGAGGGCTGTCACCCCGCTGTTCAATTCACAGAGAGCATTCTTGCGGCTCTCTAGGAAGCTAGGGGCTTCCAGGTGGTGATAGTGGTAAAGCACCCACCTGCCGCTGTAGAAGATGTAAGAGACATGGGTTCAATCCCCGGGTGGGGAAGATTCCCCTGGAGGAGCTTGAGTGTGCACAGGGAACTAGGGCTTGAGGGTGTTTTCTGGCTCTGGCTTCGCAAGGGGGCCGGGTTGCGGAGGCAGCCAGCTGGTGGTGGATAGCAAAGGGGCATGTGCCATCCCAGTCCTGATGGGTGGCCTTCTCTCCTGCAGACTCCTTTGTGAACAGCCAGGAGTGGACCCTGAGCCGCTCGGTGCCGGAGCTTAAAGTGGTGAGTGAGGCCCATGGGAAGCACAGGCAGCCCTGGGCTGGGGGTGCGGGCTGGATCGGTGGGCCGGCGTGACTCCCCCCGACCACCCCAGCTTCCAGTCCCCTCCGTCTCCAGGCTCAGCCTTGCCCCACGCCCGTCTCTTCCTGGTTTCTCTTGCCTTTCCCATCCTCGGTGCTGGGCCGTCTCCTCCTGAGTGGATCAGCCTGTCCTGCCGTCCAGTGTCTGTCCGTCCCGCCCTCTGACCGCTGCTCCTTCCTCTCCCGCAGGGCATTGTAGGGAACCTGTCTAGTGGGAAGTCGGCCCTGGTGCACCGCTATCTGACGGGGACCTATGTCCAGGAGGAGTCCCCTGAAGGTGAGCGTTAACGGGCCGGCCCCGGGCCCTGCGGCTGCGCTCTGCCCGCCCCGTCCCTGTTTCCCACTGTCTGTGCAGGGGGCTGCAGCCCCGTGTCTCTCCCCATCCTCCCGTCTTCTCTGTGAGAAGCTGTGGGTCTCTTCTTTGTGTGGCCACCCCTTACCCCCACCGTGGGCTTGCTCTTGTGGCTTGGGGCCTGACCGCGTGCTTTGTCCTAGGGGGTCGGTTTAAGAAGGAGATTGTGGTGGATGGCCAGAGTTACCTGCTGCTGATCCGAGATGAAGGAGGCCCCCCTGAGCTCCAGGTAGCCCTGGCCCATGGCACCCCCTGGTTTTCGAGGTTCCCAGCTGGGACCCCGGCAAGATCACATGCGGGGCAGCAGTGGCAAAGTTCGCCTGTGCCCAGGTGAGGGTGGTAATTCTGCTCCGTCCCCCCTCCCCCAGTTTGCCGCCTGGGTGGACGCAGTGGTGTTTGTGTTCAGCCTGGAGGATGAGATCAGCTTCCAGACAGTGTACAACTACTTCCTGCGCCTCTGCAGCTTCCGCAACACCAGCGAGGTGCCCATGGTGCTGGTGGGCACACAGGGTGAGCGGGCCTGCTCGCTGGGGCGGCGCGGCGGCTGTGGGTCCCCGGTGGGCCGGCACGAGAAAGCCTGGCCCTCAACCCCCCCTGCCCTCCTGGCGCTGATCCAGCCCTTCCGGTGCGCCAGCCCCACACCCCCACCCCGAGCAGGCACCTCCTCTCTGCCCCCTACACACTGGGTCGGCCCCGGCTCTGACCCTGCCGTCCGTGTGATGGCCATGTCCCGCAGCACTCTGAGATGGACACCCGAAGGGGCTGGCTCATTTCTACTCAGTGAGTCGGTGGCAGAGCTGGAACAAGGCCCAGACCCCCGTATTCTCGTGCTCCGTGGCGTCTGCCACCTGGGCTCTTCGCCCATCCCACCCTCCAACCAAACGGCCCAGCGCTCAGCTCATCAGCCGGCTGAGTCAGCCCCCAATCCCCCCCTCCGTCTCCGACAGACGCCATCAGTGCCGCGAACCCGCGGGTCATCGACGACAGCAGGGCCCGCAAGCTGTCCACAGACTTGAAGCGGTGCACCTACTACGAGACGTGTGCCACCTATGGGCTCAACGTGGAGCGCGTCTTCCAGGACGGTAACTCAGCGGGTGCCAGGCACTCCCCCAGAGGGGGGTCAGGCAGGCTCTGGGGAGGGAGGAGTCGGCTCTAAGTGGGGGTTCCCCCGCCTCCCCAGAGGGGTCATTGACTCTGCTGTCCCCTGCAGTGGCCCAGAAGGTAGTGGCCTTGCGGAAGAAGCAGCAGCTGGCCATCGGGCCCTGCAAGTCACTGCCCAACTCCCCCAGCCACTCGGCCGTGTCCGCTGCCTCCATCCCAGCCGTACACGTCAACCAGGTGCGGCCAGCCCCCCGCACTCCCCCTGCTGCACGCCCGTTCCACCCCGCGCGGCCCTGCCTCTCCATTCCGTCTGTCTGCCTGCCTGTCCCCACCGCGTCTGCTCTCCTGCCTTGTGGATGGTTTGAAAGCACTGGCTCGGGTCCCCTTAGCCTGCACGCCTGGCCTGGCCTGGCCTGGCTCTGCCACTTGCGCCCCGCGGTCCCTGTCCTCCTGTTCCCAGCTCTCCTTGCTGCTCCACACATCTCACCCTGCAGCAGCCGCTGCTGCCGCCTAAGCATTTGCTCTGGTCAGCCAGGGTTAGCGCGGACTCATTATGCACCTCCAGAGGAGTCCCTGGAGGCCCGCCCGCTCCTCACCTGCCTGCCCCGGCCCCCGGGTTTGCATTTAGAAGGGCAGCACTTACCCCACAAGGACCAGTGGCCTTTGTGCAACGTGGGGTTCGTGGAGGGGGGTGCCTGAGCTGGGTCCTGCCGTGTCCCTCCCAGATTACCCCTTGGACACCTGCCCGCTGCCAGGGTCTACTGCCTGGTCAGTTCTGGGCCCTTGACGTTCGTCCCAGGCCTTCGGTAACTGTGTTCCCGGACTCAGCCTCCCGCTCTGCGGAGAGCCATGGGCCAGCACAGGCGTGCGTGCTGAGCGGTCAAGTCCACGCTGTTCCTCTACTTCCGCCAAGGGCCTTTGTCTTTGCAAAGGCCTCCCGGCCCCCAGCGTCCTGACGGCCTGGTGGGCTTTTCCAGGGAACCCCTCGCTTTACAGCTGTAGAAGGTCTCAGGGCTCCCCTGTAAGAAAGGGAGAGCCATACACAGGTAGTCTCCACTGTCTCTGAGCCACTTGGCCTTGCAGCAGAGTCAGCTGTGCGCAGGGGCCCTGCCCGCCGGGACAGGGGCGGCAGCTCGGGTGTTGGCCCGGGCCCGGAGCAGGCTGCTGGGGCAGAGCGTGTCCTCTACCTAGTGCCCCGTCTTGTGGGCTGTTGGGGGTGGCCTTGTCATGCCTCCCATTGCTCCCGGAGCCGCCACCAGCGAGCATCGCTGTGGGTGTGTGTCCTCCGGTTAGCAGCCTTAGTCACTGTTCGCTCCCTGCCCAGCCCTCCTCCTCCCCGTATCTCACGCCCTGTCACACACAGGGCCTGGAAGCCAGCCTCCCCCTCCCCCTGAGCCCCACCCGGCCTCCGGCAGCCTCGGCTCTTTGTCGCAGGCCTGGGGAGCTCATCCAGGGTGACCTGTCACCCGGTGTCATGCCTAGCTGTGAGCCAAGACGCCGCAGTCTTGTTCTTTCCCGGCCCCTGCCCTTGACTCCAGCCCTCTGCCTCTGATTCAGCTAGGGGCCCTAGGCAGGGGGTAGAGGGTGGGCAGCCCAGGGCGGTGACCGTGGCGTCCCGCGGGCCTCCAGGCCTTTGCTGCTCACCTCCTTGGTTAGCCTCCGTGGGAACCGACGGCCCCCCTGCTCTGCCCCGCGAGCCCCAGGCCCCCGGGGCCGGCCGCCCTGAGAGCCCTCTCTGTTCTCAGGCCACGAATGGCGGCAGCAGCGCCTTCAGCGACTACTCGGCCTCAGTCCCCTCCACGCCCAGCATCAGCCAGCGGGAGCTGCGCGTGGAGACCATCGCTGCCTCCTCCACCCCCACACCCATCCGCAAGCAGTCCAAGCGGCGCTCCAACATCTTCACGGTACGTGCCCGTCCCTCCCGCCACCGACCAGGCAGGGCCGAGCCCCCAGCCTCCAGGACGCTGCACCTGCCCTCTCTGCACCCGCACAGACACACGCCGCTCCCGGGGGCAGCTCCGTGCAGGCGCCCCCCATCTGCACCCAGACTGTGATCCTCCGTGGGCTCCGTGCAGGCGCCCCCCCCCCCCACCTTCCATCAGCACGCAGACTTTGATCCTCCTGCAAGCCCGCGGGGCCGCCCCCAGCGCAGCCACACAGAGACCCTCCTCCCAGCCCCTCAGCGCTGTCCTGGCCAGCTGCAGGGCTCTTTGGACCCGTCTGTTCTCTTAGCTCCGAGACATCCTGGATCCCGCCCTTGTGGATCCAGGCCCTGGGTGGCTGGCCCGAGGCCGCAGGAAGCGGTAGATGGCAGAACCAGAGACCCTCCTCCCAGCCCCTCAGCGCTGTCCTGCCCTGTCTCTCTGCGTCACTCCTCATCCCGCGCTCCGAGCGTTGGGGCTCGGGTGTCGGTCAGTTAGTCCGGCGCCTGGCCAGGGTCAGGCCCCAGCCAGGCCCTCAGGAACCCAGCTCAGACAGAGCCAGTGCTCCCCAGGCCTTGCCCCTGCATCCTCGCTGTGCGTGCTTCTGCCTCGTCTGCCTGCCTGTCCCCTGCGGCCCTGCCCCATGCCCTCCATCCCACTGACCTCTGCCGTGCGTCACCCACCACCCCCAGCCCCGACCCTGCCTGGGCTCACAGCTTCTCATCTCTGTTCACGCCTGCTGAGACACACACAGCACCCCGGGCTGCCTGCTTGTGCGTTAACCCTCTTGCGGCCGCCGTGGGGCCCATGGACGCCTGGGTCTGCAGTGACAGCCCTCTGTACCCGTGGTGCCCGCTCGCTGACGTCCTGCCCACCTGCTCCTCTTCACCTGTCCCTCCCCTCCCGCCTTCCTCTGCTGCTCGCCCGGCGCCTCCGTGTACCCCGCCGCCTGCTCCTCCGCGCCACCTTCACGTTGCCCCCTCGCCGCTCCCGTCCTCCACGGCACAGCCGCCCCTTGAGGCCTCTTTCATTCTCTCCATCTTCACTGTGGCGACCTGATTTTTTTTTGTTTTTTTTCTCTCCATCGTTTCCATGGTGACCTCACTTGCGCCATTGTCCTTGAGGGAGCCTCCAGATGCGCCCGGGTCTCTCGAGGTGCCTCTCGGGATCTCCCCTTCTCATCGTCGCTGCTGGGGTGGGAGGGTGGAGGGTCCCCCCCTCTTGCCATCCTCCGGCAGAGCCATACCTGCCCCTGTCCCACCCCCATGACTTTCCTGCTGGACGTGCCGCTGACGTCCCCCTGATCTCTCCCCTGTGACTTCATGTCCTTGTTTTTGTCGCTCCTTTCGCCCTGGTTCCCCGTCCCGAGTGGGGTGCTCACCCCACACCCCCCGCCCTCCTCTGGGCTCCCAGGGGTCCTCGGGTGGTTATGGGGGGGGGCCTCTCTGCTGGCCAGCCTGGCTGGGACAGGCCTCACGTGAAGCCCACTCCCCACGATCGGCTCTTCCGTCTGGGGGTGCAAGGGGCAGAGGCCACAGTGCCCAGGAGAGGCCCCCGGAGGACAGGCACTGATAACAGAGCTGTCCGTGGGCAATGAATGGCCTGGCTCTCCCTGCTGGCCTGGCTGCGGCCCCCGGGGCCTGCTCCTCGGCAACCTGGAGGAGCTGGGGGAGGGACGTGGGGCCCGGAGCGCAGCGCACCCCCTTCCCTGCACCCCGATGGACCGCCGGCCTGCAGCCTCTCTCCTCCTCCTCCTCCTCTTCGCCGCCTCTCCTCCCCGGGCGCCCAGGTTCTCTGCCCTCGTCACCTGCTGACCCACCGTGTGCGCGGCTCGAGTATAACTTGCCAAAAATCTCTATTCTTTCGATATTTGCAGATATGTGCCACTGTTTCCAACTTTTCATCAACAAAAAGGCCTTTCCAACTCCTTCCAAATTAGAAGACCAGGTGGTGACACACAGCACCTCTGGACATTGTCCCCGTTGCGGGGCCGGGCCCTGGGACTGCTCTCAGATGAGAAGCGGCCGCCGTGCTCCCCACTCCAGAGACCCACAGGAACCTTTGTAACTAACCCCCACACCCCCAGGCAAGGCTAGGAGCCGCCGGAGCGCGCGGCCAGCCCGGCGGAACGCACGGCGCCAGGCTCTCGCCGCATGGAGAAGAAGGGAGCTCGGCCCCTGTCCCCGCCCGGCGCGCCGGCCAGCGACGAGGCCCAGAGGCCGGGGCGTCCGGCGCCCGGCCGGCTGGCGGCCCAGCTGCTCCCGGGGGTGCTCCCCGCCCCTCCCCTCCTCTGCTCCTTCCTGCATGGACTTCTCTGCTGTTCCTGCTCCGCTGGACGCCGCCGCCTCCTCCTCCTCGCCGCGCTTGCCTTCCCCTCTCTTGGCCCCCCCCACACCCCGTTTCCTAGGATCCGCATCGGGCCGGGCTCTGCCCCAGGAGCCCCGGCAGGGGCGCAGGGCCTCCTCCGGCCCGTCTCCTCTCTCTCTCCATCCACTGTGCCCCATCGGGCCTCGCGTCCGCTGAGCTTGGCACGCCGTGCTGCCGCGTGTGGTGTGTCTGTGCCCGCGGACGGGCCGCGGCCGGCTCTTACTTCTGGACTTTGCTCTCCCCCGCCGGTGGTCGTGCCCCGTGCTGCTCCCAGCCAGCCCGCAGCCTCCACCGTCCACCTCTCCTCTCCGGGCCCCTTCCCTTCTCTTAGGCCCCAGCCTCCCTCCGGCCCCCCCTGGGCTGCGCGCTCCTCACGCCCTCGGTATCTCGTGTCCTTGCTCTTTTGTAAGGGGCGGGCCCGGCCCAGTGATGACCTGTGCTGCTCTGTATGGTGCCGTGTGTAAGAATAAACACCCGTTGGAATACTCGTGGTCTCCGTTCCTTCCCAGTCCCGCCGTGCCCCCCACCCCCCACCCCAGCCCGGCCCTGCCTGGCTGCTAGGGCCTGTCCAGGGGGAGGGAGGGATTCGGGGAGGGTGGGGTGCTAGCTGGGGATTCCAAGCGGGCAGCTGAACCCCCGCAGCCCCTGGGGCCCCTCTGACACGCCCTTTCTCTTCTCTTCCAGTCTCGAAAGGGTGCCGACTTGGACCGGGAGAAGAAGGCCGCCGAGTGCAAGGTGGACAGCATCGGGAGCGGCCGGGCCATCCCCATCAAACAGGTCAGTGCTCCCTTCCCCTCGGGGCTGGAGAGGAGCGGAGAGGAGGCCCCGGCAATGCTGGAGGATGGTTCTGGAAGATGGGAGAGGCCAGTGCCCCCGGCCCCTGCCAGGCCTGAGCTGTTGACACACCCCTGGCAGGGATGGCCCTGCCTGTTCACCCTCATCACCACCTGGGGGCAGCAGAGAGCCGCCCGCCACCCTCAGCGGCTCTGCATTGGTGGAGGTGATTCTGGAGGTGCCCGGCCCTGCAGGAGGACTTGGTCTCCCCTCTTCCCTCCCCCAGAAGGGAGAGAATTCACAAAAGAGCACCCTGAGGAGTATGGGTTGAGAGGGCGTACCAAGGGCTGGTCCTACCCTGGGTTCACCGGCAGAGTCTTAACCGGGTGAGCCTCTTGTGTGTTTGAAAAGAGGAAACTTGGTCTTGATACAGTCTCTGGAGTCACTGCCTGGTAGGGCGCCCACACCGCCTGTCCTGGGTGACTTTGCTAGAGAAAGACGTTGAGTGACAGAGTGGGGGGTCTCTGGTGATGGAAGGCAGAGTTGCTTGCTGGTGTGCTGGGCAGGGCTGAAGAACCGCCGAGCTGGACGCAGTGGAGCGAGGAGGTGTCAGGCAAGAGCCTGCTGGCCCAGGTGCCCCCAGGGATAGCCAGCAGCCTGGTGGTTAGCCTGATGTGTCCCCAGGATGCTGTACTTGGCACAGACACGTCTTCCTGGGAGCCGGTGTTTAGAGATGTTCTGTGTCTACGGGAGCCGTGATGTCCGTGTTTGAGCGCAGAGTAGACTTGTGTGGCCAGAGGACCTGAGGTCAGCCTGGTCAGGGGTCCTGTGATCAGGTCTGGCCATCCAGGCTGGGGGCTTCTGTGACCAGAACCGTGTTAGGGATGGGGGTTTCTGACCCCACGGTGAAGGGCCATGGCAAACAGAGAATGCTGGAAGTGTCTTGGGGGCCAGAGGACAGAGTGGGGAGCACTGGGTTTGCCTCAGTGCTCCAGAGGTGTCACAGAGGAATGCCCCATAGGGACCCTCCCCGGTGGGCGGGGAGATGGGCTGGGAGGATGGCAGCGGGCAGTCTCCTCCCTGTTTCTCTGTGTGTCTGGGTGCAGAACTGGCCCAGAAACCTGTTGATGGCCTGTCTCTGGGGCTGTCAACCCAGGCCGCCTCGCAGAGCCTCTTGCCAGGCCAGGCAGTGGGGACCTGTTCCAGGCAAGGGACTGTCACTCCCTGCTTTGTGGCGTGTGCTTTCTGAGTATACACACAGGCACAGGTAAACATTCAACCAATGCAGCGCTTCCCCCACCCACCCATCCAGCCACCCGTCCTCACTTTGAGATCAGTCTAGCCCCAAACGCACCCTGCTTCCTGGCTGGGGTCTGGCCTAATTTATCTCTCCCTGAATCCTGAACAGGGAGGGGAAAGAGGATCTGAGCGGTAGGGGATGAAGCCCCGAGAACTTGCATCTGAAGCTCCCGACTGACTGGAGGGGTCAGCGAGGTCACTTGAGGACCCCAGACCCCCCTAAACTCAGGGATCCTCAGGAGGAAGGGCCTGGCCAGGAGGCTGAGCCTCCACACTTGTATCCAGTCACCAGGGATCACACGGGGGGGCTTTGGGGACGTGCCTACCATCCGATGGGGCCCGCCGCACTCTCATCTCGCCTAGGCTGGTGGCCATGCCTTGTGCCCCTCCCCGCCGCCCCGGACCGGGGCTCACTCCTTTTGGACCGGGGCTCACCCCTTTCGCAGCCCTCCTGTCCCGCGCTTCTCCCGGTTCCTCGCTCCCCCTCCCCCTGCTCCTGCTGGGAGTGGAGATTGCATTTCAGTTGCCATTTGCATTCCCAATCAATCCGGACTCCGCAATTAAGCCGGCTGGCGGAGCCGGGCGGGAGGCGGCGGGGAACGGGTCCTCTGGGGGCTGTCGCCCCCGCGCACCGCTCACATTCCGCCCCAGATTGCTTCCTGCGCCGCCGTGCGCAGCCGGCCTGCCCAGGGAGGGGAGCCGGCGCCCCCGGGGCGCGGGGAGGGCCAGGCCGAGGGTGGCCCGGGGCAGGTGGGTGGCCCGGGGCAGGTGAGCGGCTGGGGCCAGGCGGACGCGTGGGCGTGGGCCGAGCCCCCCTTGCAGCCGCGATCACACGCCCCCAGCCCCCCTGGCCCGGCGCTCCTCCCACGACCCCGGCTAATGCGCGCCTAACGCAAGCCGGAGCCTCATTCCCACGGTCTGGAGAAGGGCCGGTGGAGGAGGGGAGAGACTTCGGGGCAGAACTAGTCCGCCCTCCTCCGCTGCCTCCGGCATCGGGACTCCGGATCTCCTGCTGGGGGGTGGGTTGGAGGTGCTCCTAGGTGAGTCTGCGCATCTGAGACGGAGGCCCAGGCAGTTTCCGGGACTTGGGGGATGTTAAGAGCTCGTGGGTGGCAGAAGGCAGTGTGAGGGGGGGTCCGTGAGCCGGGCGGACCAGGAGGGCACGCGGTGAAGGTGAAGGGACAGAGCAGGGAGCTCCGGTGTGAAGGCGTTTGGGACAGAGGCCCTGGTGGCATCTCCTTCGGAGGCTCAGGGAGCAGGTGGGAAGGGAGGCGGGGGCTGGGGCCCCTCCCAAAGCCCCTCCCACAGCAGCAAGAGGAGCCTGGGCTGCCTCCTCCAGAGGCCGGGCCCCAGTCCTCAGGGACCCGGGTCCACAGTCGGCGCAGAGGTAGCGGCTGAGCTGTGCCCACGTCCCTGGCCTGTGAGGGGATGGGTGCCATGCCCCCGAGGCAGGTCACCAGGGCTCCTTCAGGGACCACCAGCCCGGAGCCCGCCGTCTTCTGGAATGTTCCAGCCACCCTGCTGTCTAGGAAAGGTCTCAGTTCACGCCCCTAGTCTTCAGAAGCTGCTTGTGAGGGAAGGGGACCAGGTCTCCACAGTGTCCTTAGACGGCCCCACCTCCTCCAGCCGGAGGATGAGGGAGGAAGGGGTTAAAACACCTGTTGAAAAGCAGGACTGGAGGCCTCCACCTCCGGCCACTGAAGTGGGAATCCCATGCCACCTGCTTGCTAACGTGGTGCTTGCTAATGTGGCCGTTGCAGGGCTGAGCCTTCCAGTAGGAGGCCTGAGCAGGGGAGGGTGCCCTGGAATCGGGGTTTTACCCCCACTCTCTGTCACACTGAGTCTCCTGACCCCCATTTCCAGCTTACCTGAGGGCAGGGCACCCCCTCCTGAAGGAGAGGCCCTGAGCTCCTCCTTTGTGACCCCCTTGCAGGAGGGGGGACGCTGGGGGACACTCGGTGTGCTGATCCATCCCACCCCCAGCCAGGGCCATCCCACTGTGGGGCTCTCCCCCGGGAGTGGTGTATAGGAATCTCTGGGGAGCACTGCCTCTTCTCAGCGCCCCGAGTTTGGGGAGGGGGCCCACAGCAGTGATGCTGGTCTGGGGGAACCTGCCACCCGGGCCTGTCTGTGTCCCATCCCGACCCCGGCTTCATCCTGAGGCCGGTCCCCTGTGCTGGCTGCTGTCTCAGGAGCCAGAGGTGGGTCGTCGTTAGGGGAGGGCAGCAAAGACTGTCCGGGCTGTGGGCGGTCTTTCTTGGTGGGGTCCTCCCCCCCGCCCGCTCTCAGCACCTCCGACAGCCACAGGGTCTCTGCTGGCTTTTCCCCACCGTCCCCTAGTGTGTTGCTGTGCTGGGGGGTGTTGATGAATAACACTCTGAAATCCCGGCCCTCATGGGGCCTTTGTCCATCCTGGGGCCCATCTAACTGCCACACACAGCATCCCCTCCGCTCCCATGGGAGATTTGGTTGCCAATCTGCATGGCTGGAACTCCCCACTGCCTGCTTTGAGGAGACGGGGGGCATTCTGGGGACACTTAGGTGCTTGTCTGCCCTATTCTGAGGCTACTATGGGGATTAGGAGGCCAGGGCCCCCTGAGGTCTCTGTGTTCCACTGCACCCCTGGAGATCCTGCGAAGCCGCCCAAACCCACGCCTCCCACTGTGGATGTAGCCCCACAAGCTGGGGTAGGGGGCACCCCCACCAATGGGACAGTAGTCCACGGTAACTGGAGAGGCGGCCCTGAGTCCCGTGGATGGGCTGGTCCGGGCAGCCCTCCCTGGTTCAGCTTCCGTCCCGCACGGCGTCTCTGGGCCCACACGCACAGTGACCGGGGAGGACGGGGGTGGAGGCCCATGGGGCCCGTGGGCGCTGAGACCCTCCCCACGCCCTGTGACGCGCGGGCCTGGCTCCCATCTCTGATGCAGCCTCTGTCCCCAGGGCATCCTGCTCAAGCGGAGCGGCAAGTCCCTGAACAAGGAGTGGAAGAAGAAGTATGTGACCCTGTGTGACAACGGGCTGCTCACCTACCACCCCAGCCTGCACGTGAGTGGGGGGCCTGCTGCACCTGGGGCGGGCTGGGCGTGGGGCACCAGGCAGACATGGAGAGGCTGGACTCCAGGGCCGGAGGGGAGCGTGCCTGAGCTCCGAAAGTCCTGCCCTTGGGAAAGGGCTCGGGGGCCCACATGGACCCTGAGGCCCGGTGCCCGGAAGCTCCGGGTCTTGGCCAGGCCCTTTGGAGTAAAACCACGCCCTGGGTGGTCGCCCCAGGGGCTGGACTAGTGTGCAAGTCGGGTTCTCCATCCACCACTGGAGCTGTTTTAAGAGCTGGATCGGGCCTGTTTACATGGAGTTGCTCACGTTTGGGGGGGTCGGGAGGGGAAGGCGGTGTTGCCAACGCTCCCCACACCAGGTGGGGTGCCCCTGGGCTCCCGGGACAGTGGGGCACGAGAGGGCCGTTAAGCCCGGGCTGCAGAGGGGAGCCTGGGGCCGGAACAGGCCCCCTTGGCGCGAGGCGCGTGGGGGCGCGGGACCTGGGCAGAGGGGTCCGGAGGGGGTGGGGCATGGTGACTCGGGGGGGCCCCTGTGGCGGCTCCCACACTCTCCCCCCTTCCCCTCACCGCGTGGCTCCAGCGCACAGCTGTTACCGGAATCCATCTCTGTCACCACCCCACTGCGGGCCTAATGAGTTCTCCCGCGAAGCCCCTCGAGCACAGCATGCGGGCCGGCCCCACCCCGGGCCCCGAGGCCCCCGGGCCAGCCTCAGAGGGGCCCCTCGCCCGCCCCTGAGTCTGCATAAGGGTTGTAGGGGGCCCAGCCGAAAGGAACTGGGGTCCATGCACAGGCTGTAGCCCAGCCCCCCTGAGGGCAGCACCCAGGACCCCAAGAAAGCCCGCAGGCCTGGGGTGGGCCCTTCCAGTCAACCCGGCCCTTCCCCTCGGCTCGGGGGGCCTCACTGCACAGGGTGGGAGCAGTGCTCAGATATCGGCTTGGGGGGCTGGTTAGATGAGGGGCCTCGGCCTGGCGACTTCGGGGGCTTCGACACAGAGGTTCCTGGGCATCGTCCTTGCCCCTACTCTGGGCTTCTCTTCCCCAAGTCCTGCCGAGTGCATGCGTCCTGTCCATTCCATGCATCCTGCCGAGTCCAGAGGTGGCAAGGCTCCCCACAGAGCCCTGATGAGGGGCGCGGTGTCCTAGGAAGCAGGGATGCTCCCTTCCCTGTATCCCCACCCCCTGACCAGGAAGAGGAGCGCAGTGTCCCCAGGGAAAGGGCCTGGGCCTCCCAGCCCCACTGCCTACAGCTCCTGCCCCGGCGCTTCCCAGCTGCGGGGCTGGGAGCCCGGCTGCAGCCTCTCTTCCCCACCCGTGAGGTCCACCTGCCTTCTCTCTCTCTTCTGCGTCCTCAGTCTGCCCTGCTTCCTGCTGCCCTGGCTGGGCACTCGTGCCCCCTGGGTGGCCCCGAGCCCCGGAGGAAGGAGGCAGGGCTAGGAGGGGGGTGTCTGGGGACAGGGAGGGCGGGGCCCGGGGTCGTGTTTGGTGTTGGTGGCGGAGAAGGGAGACACCCTGTGGGGTGGCTGTTTTCACACGCAACTTCCCTGGTGGCTCAGCTGGTAAAGAACCCACCTGCAATGCAGGAGACCTGGGTTCAATCCCTGGGTTGGGAAGATCCCCTGGAGAAGGGAAACGCTACCCGCTCCAGTATTCTGGCCTAGGGAATTCCATGGACCATATGGTCCAGCGGGTCGCAAAGGGTCGGACTCGACTGAGCAACTTTCACTTCACTAACAACCTGAAGAGCGGAGCCCCGGTGGGCTTTGTCGACTCCTCGGTCATCCAGCCAGTGGCTCATCAGTGACCTGGCCCCCCCGTGACTTGAACTGTAAGCGTCACCCAGAGTTTTCTGCACAGGCCAGGAGCACCTCCCCTCCGGGCTGCCTGAGGGTCCCTGGAGAGGTACCATCAAGGCAAGTGAGGCTGGCTGGATGGCCGCTGCGCTTGGGAACTGAGTGGCCAGTGTGCCTGGCTGGGATGTGGTGATGCTGGCTCCAGGCTGTCCCTGCTTTGCTGCGAGGTGAATCTAAGAGGCCGCCGGCTCCGCAGGCGCGGTGAAGAGGCTGAGAGCATGGCCTCCCCGTCGCTCAGCCCTTCAGTCGCTGCCCTCTGGGCTCCGGGTGCACGTCCTCCCCCACCCCACGCCGGATTCCCCGGGCACCTGGCTGGTGCAGATGGCAGGTTCCCAACCCTGTCCACGCTTCTCTTCTTGTCCAGGAGACCCGAACCAGGTTCAAAACCGTGGTAACAGTGAGAGCACCAGTGAGGCCAAGCCCAGGGTCTCCGTGCAGGCCCCCCGGGGTCCGAGGTCCCTCCTGACGGAGGCTGCTTCGCTCTGTCCGCTCCTCATCTCTTGGTGTCCCCGCCGGTGGCCGCCGAGCTCCTATTGCCGGCTTCCCTGCCTCCATCCCCCTTGGCCATGTTTTCCAACCTGAGCAAACTTTCCAACCTGAGCAAACTTCCCAGCTGCCGGCAATGAGTGGGGACCCGCTCTCCCTGGGAGCCGTCTGCTCCCCTTGGAGGCACCCTCCTGTTAGGAAGCCGGCGGAGGAAGGCCCTCCGGGAACTCACTCCGGGCACACACTCCCCCTCCCAGGAAACCCGAGGGCAGGGGCGCTGGGGACTCGCCTCCTGATCTGCAGGCCAGTCGGGCTGGTGGGACCCGGGCTAGTGGGACCCGAGGGGCTCACGGAGGAAAGGCTGGTGGGCAGGTCTCGAGCCTCACGCCTGGTCCTTGCCGGGGCCCAGGAGAGCCCGCCACAGCCTCCCCCATTTTGCAGCCAGCGGAGCCATTCACACAATCACCTTCTGTTAATTCTATCTGCAACATCAATTAAATTGTTTGTAGAAACTAATTGAATGTGGCTTAATCACACATCTTAATAGCTTTCCACGCTCTGAACTCGTTGTTAATTCCAGTAATAAAACGAGATGAGAACGCTGGCTGGGTAATTAGTGAGGAGGCTGGGGAAGAAATTGCTGTTTGATGGTGGGTAATAAAGGCAGCCGTGGTGACCGCTCTCCGGAGCCGCCGCGGAGCTCCCCCGTTCTGCTGACGGAGGGAAACGCTCCCTACGCCCCGTCCGCCGCCGCCTCTCTGGCTCACCCGCTGCAGTCTCCATGGGGGACCCGGAGCTGGTCCGCCCCCACCCCTGGCTGGCTGGGTGCCGGCCTGTTGGGTGGTCAGCGCTGCTTTCCCCCTTCCATTGGTGTGTGGCTCTTTGGTCCCAGACGGAGTCCTTCTGAGCGGCTCTGGTTTCTTGGCCTGGGGTCAGCTTCTCCCCCACTCCGCCCCGACCCATGTCCCAGCCTGGGGAGCCCAGGGCTGTCGCGGGGCCTGGAAACTGTTGCAGCTGCTGTGACCTCCTTGCGAACTAGAGCAGCCCGAGCCCTGCCCCCGGGAAAGGGACCACAGCTGTGTCTTCAGCCCTGCCAGCTGTTGACAGTCGTCTCGAGCTGAGATGCGACCGTGCGTGGGGACCCGGGATGCATTGCGTGTGGAGCCGATCGGAGGGCCGTGGGGGCCTGGAGTGCAGGGGCCGCCAGGATGGTGGGGTGCACCCTGGGTACTAGGCAAGGCCAGAGGGCCAATGGTGATGGGAATGGGGGTGGGCGGAGTTGACTGGGGAGGGCTCGGTCTGGGGTCAGAGCCCTGGCAGCGCGCAGCAGAGCAGGGGTGGGAGGTCGGGGCGGGGGAGCCCTCCTGTGGTGGAGCCTGCCCTCGTCCGTGTCTCAGCGATGCTGTTCTGTGCTTCTGAGACACCCTGGGAGCCGGGTGTGCCCGAGTCCAGGCACCTGGCCCTGTCCCTCACCAGGAGGCCACAGACGCGGAGCAGAGCTGCAGGGCAGGGCGCGCCTCCTCTCTGGCTGGTGGGGCCCCTGTGGTCCTTCTGAAGGGTTTCCCAGGTGGCTCAGCGGTAAAGTGTCCACATGCAATGCAGGAGACGCAGGTTTGATCCCTGAGTTGGGAAGATCCCCTGGAGGCGGGCTTGGCAACCCACTCCAGTATTCTTGCGTGGAGAATTCCATGGTCAGAGGAGCCTGGCAGGCTACAGTCTGTGAGGATGCAAAAGAGCTGGACATGACTGAAACGAGTTAGCATGCACAGGCCCGGCCAGGCCTCTGGGAGTTGGTCCGCATGCTGGCATCAGGGTGCCCCGTCCTCCCCATAGTCCTCCTGCTGGCCCCAGTGATTCCTGCAGGGAACAGCAGCCTGCGGGGGGCAGAAGCGGAGCAGGTGCTGGGTTCTCTGCTCCCTTGATCTCACTCCTTCTCCTCTTCGGAGACTCGCACATTCTCTTGGCTCCTTGCAGCCAGGTGACCCCTTTCTCCTCGAGGTCATCTCGGTTGTTCACAGGGTGAGGGTCAGCCTGGAGCCCCTCATCAGCCCGCCCTGGCCAGCTCTCCCTGTCAGCTCTTTTAAGCAGAGGACATCGTCCCTCTTCCCTGAAGCTGCAAGATGGGAAGGCAGGAGAACTCCTGGGAACAGGCAGTGGTGTCCTGGTGGGTGCGGTGAGAGGGCTGGGACCTGGAAGGACACAGGCTGAGCCGGGTGCTCAGGGAAGCACCCTGCATGCAAAATATCCCAGAGGCACTCCTGATGACGGAGGAGAGGAGCCCGTCCGAGTCCAGCTGGTGAAATTCCCTCCAGAGTTAAGTTGGCCACTGGCCTGGCTTCTGCCCCCTGGGGAAGGACTGCCCAGGAACTTGCCAGGGCCATGGACGAGGGAGTAGCACCCCAGATCAGAGCAGTAGGGAGACCAGGCCGGGCTGGGCGAGGTTTTAAGCAGAGGGAAGCCAGAGGGAGGGCAGGGCTCCACCCTGCATCCCCCAGCCTACCTCTCGCCAGGTGCCACCCCCCGCCTGGGGCAAGGTGAAGACAGCAGGCATGATGGGGTCAGCACCCAGCTGCTCCCGCTCTTGAGGTCCCTCCCCCTTTATCCGCATCCAGCCCTCCAGGTGCTGACATGAAGGCAGGGCTGGTTCGCTCCAGGGCTGAAGAGGAGGTTCACTGGGGACCTGAACAGGCTGGGCTTGAGTCTGGCTCTGTCACCTGCTGATTGTGACCTTGGGCAGGTTATCCGTTGTAAGGATAACCTGTTTTTCCATCTGTAAAGCGGGCACAGTAACACCGTCCTCCTGGGTCGTCGGGACACTCATGTGAGGCAGTGTGTGAAATACAGACGTGATGTCAGCTGTCGCTTGGGGGACCCCTGGCGCGTGGCTGGGTGGGCCGTGTGACGTTAGCACTGATTACTCTTCCTGCCGCTGGGATGTCCACTGGTATCTGGAACTGTGCACTTGTTTCACTGTTCCTCAGGACGGCAGAATTGAAGGCTTCCCTTTAACTATTGGACAAATATTTATCATCAGGCATCAGGGCTTCCCTGGTGGCTCAGATGGTAAAGAATCCGCCTGCCATGCAGGAGACCTGAGTTTGATCCCTGGGTTGGGAAGATCCCCTGGAGAAGGGAATGGCCACCCACTCCAGTATTCTTGCCTGGAGAATTCCATCGACAGAGGAGCCTGGTGGGGAACAGTCCATTGGGTCGCAAAGAGTCAGACAGGACTGAGCACCTTATGTACCTTCGAAGGACTAGGCGCTGCTCTAGGCTGGGAAAGTCCTCCAGGCCCCAAATAGTGGTGGGAGCATCTGCAAACAGGGCCGGGGTCCTTGGTGACCAGCCACCCAAGGCCCAGGGCAGCCCCATGGTCCACGTCCCTAGGGACCGGGCCCTCTCCTCGGCCATCCGGCTCCTCTCCGAGTCCCATCTCAGGTCAGTACTTGGCCTCCTTTGCTTTGCATCCTGAGCCGTCTTCCCTCAAGGAGCCTGAGTGTCACTCCTGGCCCCAGACCTTCTGTGGCCCCTGCTCCACTCCCAGCAGAGCCCCCAGAGCCACACACAGGCAGACCTAGAAGGGGGTGCTGGGGGCTCCACAAACATGAGCAGTGCGGGGAAGAGACCCAGGAGTCGAGAGGGTCGGGACGGGGTGCTGCGGAAGAGTGACCTGTCCTAACAAGTCTCCCCCCCATCTTGTCCATGTGGCCCCAGGACTACATGCAGAACATCCACGGCAAGGAGATCGACCTGTTGCGGACCACCGTCAAGGTGCCTGGGAAGCGCCTACCGCGAGCCACGCCGGCCACAGCCCCTGGCACCAGCCCCCGGGCCAACGGGCTGGCCTTGGAGCGGAGTAGCACACAGCTGGGCGGGGGCACAGGTGAGGGGCTGCTAAGGTGGGGGCATGGGGCACACTGTGTGGCGTCGGGGGGCTGCATCCAGCCTGGGCCCTCAGAGCTCCGGGCAGGCTCGCACCGAGTATCAGGCTTCAGGATCAGCCCAGCTAGCACGTTGGCCAAAATGCAGCCCTTGTGGGGTCAGTAGGGGAAGCGGCCAGTGGACAGCCCGGCGGATCAGAGCAGGGACGGGAAGCCTCAGGCCGACAGGTGGTGTCAGTGTCCAGAGCGGGGCAGGCGATGGGGGGCACAGGAACCAGGGCCACATCTCAGCCACGCTGGCCGAGCGAGCTGCCTGGGGGTCCGAAGTGCCGGGTGGGGTCTTTGTTCAGAGGCGTGGACGCTGCCCCGTCCAGCAGTGAGGAGAGCAAGACGGTGCTTGTTTGAGGCAAGGGTCCCCGCCCTGCCAGGGTACCACCCTGTCTGGAGGTGCTGAGGGGTCAGGGGCACTGGCACCGCTGATTGAGGGGTGCCGGGTGTGCTAGCCCTGACGTTGAGATCGTGATCCCATGTTATGGATGAAAAAACAAAGGTTCAGAGCGGTTAAGTAACTTGTCTGTAAAATCCCCCAGAGGGGCTTCCTTGGAGGCTCAGTGGTAAACAGTCTGCCTGCAATGCAGGAAACACAGGTTCAGCCCGTGGATTGGGAAGGTCCCCTGGAGAAGGAAATGGCAACCCACTCCAGTATTCTTGCTTGGACAATCCCATGGGCAGAGGAGCCTGGTAGGCTACAATTCACAGGGTTGCAAAGAGTTAGACACAACTTGGCACTGAAGTGGTAGAGAGGGGGTTGAACCTACATGCGCCTGACTGGGGCAGCTATGTGCTTCCACTCAGCCTTCTCGAGCTCAGAACGAGGCCCTTGAAATAGGCAGAGAGTGAGCTAGTGGACGGGTGGAGGGAGGGACGCTAAGGACAGGAAAACAAGAAAGATGGGTAGGGTGCTCAGAGGCGCCGGCGGGGGTGCGCTTGGGGGCGAGGGGGCGGGTTCGCTGGCCTGAGGACAGCGAGGGCAGCCTGGGGGTGCCAGCCTGGGGCTTCTCAGGTGGCACCAGAGGGCAGAGGATGCGGAAGTGGATGGAACGGGAGCCCTGCTTGCAGGCAGCCAGCAGGGGCACAGCTGGCTGCTTCCTTGGAGGAGGGACACCCAGGACCCTTTGTCCTGCCATGTTCCCTGAAGGCCCCCACCTGGGGAGCAGAAGTGGGGTGTGAAGCAGGGGTGTGGCCCACGCCCCTGTGTACCCAGCCGCGCCCACCGACGGCTCCCCAGTGTCCCCGGAACACGTGGCCGGGCTGCCCCCCGGGGCTGCGTCCCCCCTTCACACCGCCAGCGACCTCGCGCACACTCACAACGCGTCTCCGCTCACCGGGCGATGTTAACATCTCATTATCTTTGTTACTGTAATTACATTATCCGCTGCTTTATGCAGAATTATCCTCCGAGGACTAATTGATGGCTCCATGTTTAATTCATTAATCATTAGCATCAAATTCGACAATTACAGTGCACACTGATTGTGGGATTGCAGGCGTAATGAGGGGAGAATTAACAAAGAAAAGGGAACGCGCCCGCCCTCCCTCAGGGTTTTAGGTTGGGGGGCTTGGGAGGAGGAGGTTTGGGCCTTGTGGTATCTTTGGTTAGGGCTGGGGTTTGGGGGGGATTAAGACCTGGAACCTCAGGGGAGATGGTGGGGGGGCAGGAAGTCCAGCCCTAAGGCTGCTGCTCCCCTGGAAGGTCTCCTGACTGGGCTTGGCGGGCCGGTGAGGAGGCCACCCCAAGAAGGGCTGAGTAGGCAAGGACCTGTTAGGCAGAGTGGGAGGGGGGGTAGGATTCCGGAGAGAGGGGCCTCAGTGTGTGGCCGCGAGGGGCTGGCCCACACCGGTGTTAATCAGCGCTTGCTGTGTGTCTGCTCCCGCCGTGGGTGTCAGGAAACACAGAACTCGCCCCACCCTGCAGCGTCCTGCGGGCCCCAGAGCATCGCGGGCCCGCATCGTGTCACGGCTGTGACACGGCCGTCTGTTCCTTTCCCTTTTAGGGGCTTCCGCTTCTTGCAGACACTTGCCCCTTGTGCTTGTGGGGCTGGTCGGGGCCCCCTCCGTCAGGCTTATCCAGCCCCGGGGGTCTCTGCCTGTCACGAGCACCCAGCACCCGGCTGCTCCCCCCCACCCCACTTTCCATGCAGACCCCTGGGTGTGACTGCTGGTCCTCAGACTTGCCGGCCGGCCGTGGCCTCCTGGCCTCAGGCCCCACGGGGTCTCAGGTCAGTGTCCGAGGCGAGAGGGCTGCGGTTGCCCCCGGGGGCCGTCCACAGTGACTGATGAGCCAGGGAGAGCCCTGCCACCAGCCCCCCGGCGCTCCTGGAGCCGCCGCCCCGTTCCCCTGGCTCCGTCGTCCTTCCCCCAATGGGAAACGAAAGATTAATTTTCTGCAGCCCAACAGGATAATTACTAATACTAATTAGACATAATTACTTGAATTTGATACACTTATTTCTCGTCAGAACGGCAGCAGAGCTGAGGCACAGCCCACAGCGTGTGTGGCCTGGAGTGCGGGCTTTGGGGCCTGACCAGCAGCGTCGGCTCGGGCCGTGACGGGGAGTCAGCCCCGCTGTCCCCCCGGCAGCGTCTGGCTGTGCTCACAGGGTGGGGTGGAGAGGGGACACAACATGTGCAGGGAGCTAGGCGGGGCGTGAGGTCTGAGGCCGGCCTGAGCCCCCCACCCCAGTTCTGTGGTGAGCCTGGCAGGTACTCGGTGAACCCAGGAGCCCCTCGTTTTTTTTCCCAGTGTCCTGCAGGCATCTCTCAAGCTCTGCCCGTAGGTAACTGTGCTTTCAGGACGGCCTGTGGGCCACCCTTCCCCAGGGCCCCTCTCCGTCTGACCCTTCCCCCCAACCCCCCGTCCCCAGGTACCCCCCACCCAGCCAGCAGCCCAGCCTGGGCCGGTCCGCGCCCCGAGGGCCTGCACCAGCGTGCCTGCTCTGTGTCCAGTGCCGACCCGTGGACTGAGGCCGCTGCCCTGCCCCCAGGTACGCAGGACCCGGTGAGGCTGAGAGGGGAGCGGGGGTCCCCCCCACCCGCCCCGGAACAGCCCTCCAGGGCTCGGGGAGGCCAGGCGCTCCTGGAAAACAGCGAATCAGGGTGGCCACCCCAGGCCCCCACCAGCGGCCGGCGCTGGAGACCCTCCCTGCCTCTGCAGCCCCCCTGCCCACCCTCTGCCGGCCCCAGGCGGCGCTGGTGGTGCTGGCATCGCCATCAGCCCCCCGTGCAGCCAGCTCATCAGCCTCGCCGCGGGGGGACGGGGAGGGATGATGCTGGGGGCTTCAAAGACAGGAAGGGGGCCCTGCAGACAGATCAGGGAGTGGTCCAGAGAGTCTCTCCCCACACTGCCCCTGCGATAGTCCGAGGCCCTTCCCCGACCTTCCCACGTCCCTCGCTCTCTTTACGGGGGCTGCTGTCTGGACCTTGCTCACATGGCTCTTCTTGCCCTTACCTCTCCCCTGTGTCTTCAGCGGGTACCTCACTCTCACCCGCGTCCTGCCCCTCAGCCCCGATCCATCAGTCAGCGCAACTCCGCGAGGGTGTGGGCGGGAGGAGACCCACCCCCTCCCGGGGCTGGTGCACCTGCCGTCCCTCCTCCTCTGGGCAGCTGAGCATCAGCTGCTCCCAGAGACCCTTCGCAGGTCCCCACTAAGCCCCCCGCCCAGCTCGGACAGCGGGAGGGGCTGGCTGCCCACAGCCCGGGTCTGCCCCACCTCCTGTGCCCAGCCCAGGGCCCCCCGGGGACGGGGGGTGGAGGCCTGGCCAGGGCCGGTCACCGGCCAGGGCCGTGCCGGCCTCCGGCCTCCGTGGGCCGCTCTGTTGAGTCTGGAAGGAGGCAGGCAGGCAGGGAGGGAGGGCGCCGCGTGTCTGCCTCTAATGAAGTTTGACATTTAGTGGTGAGCGCCGGGCGGGGTGCGGGAGACGGGAGCTTGATTAGCGCGCTCTAATTGACAGTAATTAGGCAGCTCCCTGATTGTCTCTAATTCTGCTATTAATTGTGAGGAGCTGGGAGTGTGATTGAGGATAAATTTGGTGCGGAGCTGCTGGGGTTTCAGCTCCCCGCGAGCGAGTTCCCGGCCGCCTTCCGCCCCTCTGGGCTGCAGAGGCTGGCTTCCCCTTGCCTTCCCCCTGCTCTGCCTGAGTTTCCCACCCTCTCCTCCTCCAGGCCCGGGGCTCCGGGGTGCGGTGGGGCGGGGTTGGGGGGTGGGGGGAGAGGGCAGGAGGGGCTGCTCCCCCCGGGCGGTGCCCCAGCTTCAGGTCAGGGTGCTGCCCCCTCCCCGCTTCCCACACGTCTCCCCCTCTCCCTCACCAGCCAGTGGCCCCGCTGAGGTGCTCAGCTCCAGCCCCAAGCTGGAGCCCCCCCCATCTCCCCACTCCAACCGGAAGAAGCACCGGAGGAAAAAGAGCACCGGGACCCCCCGACCAGACGGCCCCAGCAGTGCTGCTGAAGGTTAGGGGGACCCCCCCCGAGGGAAACCGGGGCACAGGAGGTGGGCAGGGGGACTTGGGGGTCGTCCTCGAAACGTCACGCCCTCATACCCTCTTGTCTGCATTAGGTTAAGCACCTTCTCATAATAATATCTCATAACAGCAGCTCCATAACTTCTGGTCATTTAGACCTGGTGTCTTAGCAAAAAAGCTCCTTCTTCGGCCTAATGTAACCCCTTTCCTTGTGAAAACGTGGGCTTCCTTCATTTACTCTCCTAGAAGGTAAAAGACGGCAGGCTGCCAGTCCCGTACCTTTTCGCGGGTGATGCGGGCAGGACCTGTGTTCCCTGCGCCTCTCGTAGCACCCGTCGAGTTTTTCAGCATCCGCGTGTGTCGGGCTGAGTCTCTCCTTGGTTGTCTCTGGGCAGAGGAACCCCAGCTCCTCAGATGTTTTCCACAGGTCCTTGCTCCTAACTCCTTATTCATCACAGCGCTGCTGTGATGTCTGGCTTTCCCCACATCCTCTTTGAAGCGTGCGTCTTCTCAGTGGCTGGAGTCCCTTTGGAAGTTTAACTTAGGTGGATGCACACTTGCTGGGCTCTGTTCCCATGGGCAGGGGCAGGGCTGTGGGGAGACCATCACTAAGGGAAACAGCGGCTTCTGCAGAGCCGGCCTGTGATACAGGGGTGCTTGGCGCTCACGGCCCAGGGCCCATCTGGACCAGGAAACTTGAGTCCCCATGGATGATCAGGGCCGTGGGGTTCAGAGACGGTGGGGAGCAAGATGAGGCGGAATGGTGGAGCCTGGGGAAAGAAAGCTTCCAGCTTTTGCCATGAAGACGGTTCTGTTCAGGGCTTCCTGGAGCGGGACCTCGACCCTGAGGACTTCCGGGGTGGAGGAGGGGTCAGTGTCACTGGCGCCATGGGAGGCTGCCCTGCGGAGCCTGTGGCCTGGTCTCTGCAGCCCCCACCACACACTTCTGCTGGTCGGGAGCTGTGTGCCCCCCGGGGGAGGGATGGGGAGCGGCAGTGAGCATCAGGAGTAAGGCTCACGGGGATGGTCTGGTGAGAGCGCAGAGCCTGGAGCAGCGCCCCCACACTGCCCGGGGTCACAGTTCAGCACCCAGGGCTTGTGACCGCACACGTCCACGGATCCCTGTCTGCTCACACGTCCCAGGTGGTCTCTGGAGGAAACCACGACTGCTCCCCACCCCTGCCCTCCCTGCCTGCCTGTGCCAGGGGAGGGGGGAGGGGCCTGGCTCCCAGGAGCCCCACGCTGACGCCGTCAGGAATATTGGGTTTAATGAGCTGCAAAATGAGGCGGCTGCAGCTGACATGTACGGATGGTGCCCACACCCGCCTCCAACACCCCCCCCACACACACACCCGCCCCCTGGCATTTCCTCCCAGCGCCCCGGCGCATCTTCTCCAGACCCTGGGCTCTGCTTTCTCTGGGAAGTACCCCTCTGACTTCCAGACTTGTTCCTGGCTGCACCGGGGCTGCCCACAAACCTTGCATCCCCACGTTTTCCACCCAGGCTCCACAGGTGGCCAGGTTGGCGGGCTGCTCTCCGCACCCCCACTTCCCCCTCTGTGAGGAGCCCGGAGAGCACAGTCCTCCAGGCTGGGGCCCAGAGGGGCTGTATGTGCGGGCGACAGGGGCCCTGCCCTGACCGGTGTGTGCGCCCTGTGTGTGCCCGCAGAGGCCGAGGAGTCGTTCGAGTTTGTGGTGGTGTCCCTCACCGGGCAGACGTGGCACTTTGAGGCCTCGACGGCCGAGGAGCGGGAACTCTGGGTGCAGAGTGTGCAGGCTCAGATCCTCGCCAGCCTGCAGGGCTGCCGCAGCGCCAAGGACAAGGTGGGCACGGGGCGGAGGGGCAGGGCGGGGCGCTGGAGGGGGTGCCCCACACTGGCCTCCTGACTCACCGCCCACCCCGCCACCCCCCCATCCCTTCAGACTCGGCTGGGGAGCCAGAATGCAGCTCTGGCCGTGCAGGCTGTCCGCACCGTCCGGGGCAACAGCTTCTGTATTGACTGCGACGCCCCCAGTGAGTGCCGCGGCGGTGGGGCCGGGCTGGGGGCTTCGGGTGGGTGGAGCTCGAGGATTGGGGTGGGGGGCGGCTCCGTGTCACGTCCTCTCCTCGCCTAGATCCGGACTGGGCCAGCCTGAACCTGGGTGCGCTCATGTGCATCGAGTGCTCCGGGACGCACCGGCATCTGGGGGCTCACCTGTCCCGGGTCCGCTCACTCGACCTCGACGACTGGCCACCCGAGCTGCTGGCCGTCATGACCGCCATGGGCAACGCCCTGGCCAACAGCGTCTGGGAGGGGGCCCTGGACGGCTATGCTAAGCCGGGGCCTGACGCCTGCAGGTGAGGGCATGAGGCCCCCGGTGCTCCTGCCCTCCTGCCGGGTGGGGAGCTGGGAGGGCGGGGCAGCCCCAGGCAGCTATGACAGGGCTGCGGGTTGGAAGGGTTAAACCCTGCCGTTGCTCTGTTCAGCAGTGGGCCCTGGGGGTACCCTCCGCCTGTCACTCAGAGCCTCACAACAGCAAGCCCTTTCTCCGCCGTTATCAGCACGTCGCGGGGCGGGGGGCGCATGCGCAGGGCTCTTTGCAATGGCGCAAAGCCTACAGCCGGAGCGCCGAGATACGGAGAATGGGTAGTAGATAGATAGGGTCGTCCGTGGGCCCCCAGGGCAGGCCCCCGCCTCCTTTGTTCCGGCAGGGCCAGATAAGCTGCCCACCCACGCCTTCCCGCCCCCAGCCCTGTCTGAAATCCACCAGCCCTCGAGGCCCCCCAGTCCCTGCCACGTCCCCCAGCACATCCCCACCGCCCCCCTGGGGTCTCCCCCGAAAGAGTTCCGTCCAGCCTCTCCCACACCCTCTGTGCCACCCGCTGCCCCCGACCGCCCTGGGTCCCTCGGGCTGGTTCTGCTCTGAGGGTCCTGGTCCCCTAACCCCCACCTTGCTAGCTCCCCTGACCGCCCCCCTGGCCTGGCCCTGCCTGTGCCCGCAGAGAGGAGAAGGAGCGCTGGATCCGGGCCAAGTACGAGCAGAAGCTCTTCCTGGCCCCGCTGCCCAGCTCGGACGTACCGCTGGGCCAGCAGCTGCTCCGGGCGGTGGTGGAAGACGACCTGCGGCTGCTGGTGACACTCCTGGCACACGGGTCCAAGGAGGAGGTGAACGAGACCTACGGCGACGGGGATGGGCGGACGGCCCTGCACCTGTCCAGCGCCATGGCCAACGTGGTCTTCACGCAGCTGCTCATCTGGGTGAGTCGGTGGGGGGGGCCCTCCTGACCTCCCTGACATCCGTCCTTCCCCCCTGCCACCCCTCGCGGGGGGAATCCACACCTTTCCTGCCAACCGTGAGAACGTGCTTCCTTCTGCAGTACGGGGTGGACGTGCGGAGCCGGGACGCCCGCGGCCTGACCCCGCTGGCCTATGCCCGCCGCGCCGGCAGCCAGGAGTGTGCCGACATCCTCATCCAGCACGGCTGCCCTGGGGAGGGCTGTGGCGTGGCCCCCGCCCCCGGCAGAGAGCCGACCAACAGCACCAGCGCCTCGGCCGAGCTGCACCGCAGCCCCAGCCTCCTGTGAGCCCCGGGAAGAGGCCGGAGGGGCCAGGACTGACGCCGGGGCGCAGGCACCCACCTCCCTCCAGGCCCTGGGGGAGACGAGAGACACAGAGGCTGAGACCCAGGGACCTGAGAAGAGTCTGGGAGGAGAGCCGGAGGGGAGGGTCAGAGGAGACGCCTGGGACTCCAGCCGCCACAGGTGTTTGGCCCCTGCCTGGCCTGCGCCGCTGCGGAGGGACAAGATGCTTTGGGGGTGCTGTGAGAGGAGGGGAGCAGGACCTCGCCCTCCTCCAGGTTCCTGCCTTCCCATACCAGCCCCCTGTAGGCCCCCCCACCCCGAGCCGGGAGCCTGGGCGGGGCAGAGGTCCCATGTAAATGTGTACATTGCAGTATTTATGTTTGTGTACATACTTGGCGTGTGTGTGGTGAGCCAATAAACCAGACCGTGTGTGTGTGGCCTGCCTCTCACCTTTCATCCCCCCGCCCTCCCAAGAAAACACCCTCTGAACTCCGCTTCTGCGTGCCTGTCCTCTCCTCTCTGCTGCACTTTGGGGTGCCTGCCCCCCCTGCCCAGCCTCCTCCGCGGGCTTCTCTCAGCCCCTTTCTCCAGGGGTGTTGTTGAGTCTGTGAGCCACCCCGGGAGGGGAGACTAGCCCTGTGCTTCCCACTGGAAGCTCCCTGCCGTTCCCCCATCACCCTCACAGAGGTTTCCTGTTGGTCTCCTTGCTTTCATCTGTATTCTGTCAAGTAGCCTTATTAACACCACGCCTGTGCTGGCCAGAGGTCACCCGCAGAGAGGGCAGGAGTCCAGGAACCAGCCCCACAGCCAGACGTGCAGGGGGTCAGTGCCCGGGAGGAGGGTCTGAGGACGCGATGGGACGAGGGGGGCTCATGCCAGGGGAGGAGACACATTGCCGACGGCAGGATGGCACCCTGGGCTGCCCCCAGCCTCCCTGCTAAGCCGGAGGCAGGACCCAGCCCCCCCGCCCCTGCCTTGTCCCTCGGACTGTCCCCAGTCTCGCTAGAAAGACGGCCAGGAGAAACTCTCTGCTTGTGCTCTGAAGAACTTGCTAGGTTAGGGTCCCTGCTCTCGAGGGAGCCTGCCGCCACCCTGCTGGTGGCCCGTGAGTGCCATGGGTGTGGCAGGCTGGCGGGCTCTGCCAGTGGGAAATTAACCAAGTAAAGCTATTCAGAGAGAAAACCAGATTTTATTTTCTTGATCCACAGCCCCTTTCTCAAGGCGGATAAGCACCTTAAGCAAAGATAAGGGCAGAATAGAGACAAGGCTATGGGTATGTGTAAGATTGGGTTTCTGGGCTCAGAAAAATGCTAGCAGTAATCATCTCCTTAGGTTCCCTAAGGAAAAGAAGCCGCTTGAGAGGGTGAATAACTGCCTGGTATAGTTCAGGAGGCTGCAGGGGCAAAGCCAGGGGAAAGAAGGCAGATGATGGCCTTGGTTTTGCCAGTTCTCGCCCACCCCTCGCCCCGACCCAGGCGGGGGCAGAGAGCCCGAGGGCCTCTGCTCCTGCCCTCATTAGACCTGCGGACAGGATTCCTGAGAGCAAGGTGGGTACAGCTCCTGGGATCCTCGACCTGTCTCTGCCTGACTTCTCTCCTAAAAAGAATCTCACCCTGTAGGTTCCCTCTGTGGGTCAGTAAGGTTTCAGACAGCCTTGATCGAGATCAGGGAGGGGCTCATCTGGATTACTTTTTTCTTGGCCTCCAGCCTTCCTGGAATTTAGCCAAAGAAGAGAGAAGACCCTGGATGCCTGTCCCAGCCCAGGCGCTGTGCCGCTGTGGCTCGCGACCAGCCAGGCTCCAGGGTGCCTTCCCTCTGGCTACCAGAGCCGCTGGGAGAAAAGGGCTGTCTCAGTCCCATTGGGAGAGGCGGGCGGTGGACGACTAGACAGCTGACCCGCCCAGAGCCGGGACCCACAGCACGGTGCCCTGGGGCAGTGAGGAGACTGGCCGGGGCTGCCCTTGCTCACCTGCCTCCCTCAGAGCCTTCTAATCTGAGCAGGTCCTGTTTCTTCCCAGGCGGGCCCATTAACCGTGACAGCAGCTTCACCCAGTTTCTCTGGGTACAGGACGGCAACCCGTCTCGCGAAAGCGGGGAAGCGGCCGACAGCTTCAGCATGTCTCGTTCCCTCCTGGTCTACCCTGTGCCCTGCGGGTGTCCCTGAAGCCTCACATCTGTCTCCTGTGTCCACCACCGATGCTGTTCCTTAATTTGCTCAAAGAATCTCCACCCCGAAGCCTCTAACTCCTGTCTCTGTAGCTTCCCCCACAGCACACACCCTCCCAGAACCACCAGACACACCTTCCTGCCTCCTGTACTCTGGAGTGGGCCCTCTCAAACGGAAGAGGGTCTGGGGTCCCAGGCTTCACAAACGAGGCAAGGTGGGTGGGAGAGCAGACCACCACAGCGCTGTAAGCACAGAGGACTGAAAGTAGGTCTTCTGCTCCAGGCCCTCAATGTCTGGAATGTTGGAGAGCAGCAGACATGGCCTGAGCTGCCGTGTCCTCTACACAGAAGACGATTTATGATGGTTGGGCTCCCGGGTGACAAGGGTGAGCCCCTGGCCTGCCCCGGGTCCTCACAGGACTCATGGCCTCCACCTAGTCAGACACGGCCTGCACACACCCGCCTTAGGAACCTGGGCTGTAGCCCAGGTTCACTTCCTCTCAATTCAAAAGCGAGTGAGTCCTCTACCCTGAAGTCAGAAGCAGCAGCGGTGCCTGTTAGGATCGTGAGATCTAGAGGCGGGAACAGTGGGCAGTGAGTGCAGCGGGAAAGGACAGAAGCAGAGGTAGGTTACGTGGGGGAGATGCTGAGTGCTGACGGGTACCTAAAGAGGCCAGCGAGAGTTCCAACTTTTGTTTCTTTGCACATCCTGCGCTGTAGACAGGCAAGGCGGTGCCCGCCCTGGGGCTGGGAGGTTAAACTGAGGCTGGAGGAGACACACGACCTCCCCAGTCCCTCTGGAAGACACAGACTGAGGCAGAGAGCTCCATATATACAAACTTTACACAAAATAAATAAGGAGCCGTGACCAGCTTGGCAGGTCTCACCCTGGCTTCCTCCTGCCCCTCAGAAGCGATTCTAGGGCATCAGTTGAAGGAAGGGGGACCCTGCAGGCCTGAGGAGCCCCCTTTTAGTCCCAGCAGCTCCTCAACAGCGAGAACCCCTGAAGTCCAGGCCTGGGGCCTCTGGTATGGCCCAGGACCCAGAAAGGGTCCGCACCTCAGGTTGCCAGGAGGGCCCCCCAGAGCCGTGCCAATTGCCGACGGGAGCCCCATCCTCGGGCAGGACCGCGGTGGGGGCCTATGGCCCCCAGAGCCCAGCCCAGTGTCCGCGCAGACCCGTGCCTCCCCGGGCCCCCACGGGGCCCCTCAGGGCCGGGCCCCCTGCTCCATCTGTTGGTGCTGGCTCCTCACGGCAAACCTATTGACGTGCACGGGGATGGGGACCACTATCTTGGGGTTTCTCACAGGCTCCCCGGAGCGGCTGCTCACGTTCCCAGCTTTGATGCGCTTCCACTTGGCCCGCCGGTTCTGAAACCAGATCTTGACCTGCACCTCGCTGAGCTTGAGGGCGTGTGCGATCTGGGAGCGCTCGGTCAGCGAGAGGTACTTCTTGCAGTGGAACTCCTTCTCCAGCTCCAGGAGCTGCTCGCTGGTGAAGGCCGTGCGGCGCCTCCGGCTCTTGCCCCCGGGGGCCGGGACTCCCGTTGAGGGTGCCCCCTCCTCCGCTGCGGTCCCCAGGCCGCCCTTCATCTTCGGTTTAGGTCCCAGGAGGGCCCCGGGGCCCGCGGCAGAACTGTCCAGGAAGCCATCCTCCTCACTGTCTGCACCCGAGCCCTCTTCCTCCTGCTCGCTGCCTGCTGGGTCTCCTGTGGGCGCCTCCAGCTTTTCCTCATCAGAGCTGTACACCTTCCCCTCTGCTGCGGGGAGTGGGGGCCAACAGGGTGGGGTTGGGGTGGGATTGGGGAGGCGAGGAGAAGGCAGAAGGGTTGGAGGCGGCACATGGAACCCGGGCCAGGCGTGGACAGTGTGCCGGCCGGAGGAGAGAGACGTGGAGGGGATGAGACAGGAGGGGAGGGGACACAGGCAGGGCAGAGTGGGAAGAGGTTTGGGGAGACAGAGAGACAGGAAGAAAGGTATTAACCAGCACAGACTTCACTCAGGCAACGTGCGGGAGGCATCCATCAAGAGGGCCCCATTCCCAGGACCCGGACACCTCAGCCCCTACCCCTCAACCTCGTTTTCCTACCTGCTACCTCCCCGGCTTTCTCTAGACCCCAGTGAAGGGCTCCCCACTCATGGACCGCCCCTCCAAGCCCAGAGCCTGCAGCTGCTCATCGTGATGAAACAGCTGGAGCTGGGCTCAGTATCCTTTCAGTTGCTACAGGCGGGAGTGAGAATGCAGGAGGATTCACTTTTGCAGGACAGAGAGGAGGCCGCCTGTGTTCTCCTCCTGGGACTCTTCACCTGGCCTCGTGGGAGGAGCCACGCAAGCCCCTCGAGCCTGTCCCCCTTCCTTCCCTCTTTCCTGGAGCTGGGAATCAGCATCTCGTTTCCAGATGGAAACTTCGGGGTCACGTGACTCCCTCCTGCCCCAAACTGGGATCCAGGAAGTGTTACCCAAGGACCCAAGAGTCAGCGGATGTCTGTACCCCCACCTCCCCAATTCTCTGTAACCGGACCACCCAGCCCCGACCGGGGAGCCCTCCCACCACACACACCACCTTCTCGAAGGCCAGGTTTTTCTTCCGATCACTCAGCTCCCCCAGGACCCTTTCAGCCCTCCATTTTTAAAAGATGCCATCTCAAAAAAAAAAAGAAGGAAAAAAAGATGCCACCTCTCTCCCACCTCCCCTCTTTCCCAGCCAAGGCGGTGAGAAGCGCCAACAGCTGCTTCCTGCCCAAGTTCAGAATCCTGGGGACCCTGAGCTCAGCGTGAGCTGAGAACCGGAGGCAGCACGGAGGGCGGAGGAAGAAACAGAAGTGCAGCGGCGGAAAATACGGAGAGAAAAACGGGAAAGAAGAGATTCTGACTCAGTAGGCTGCTGGTTAATTGTAATCACAGGCATATAAACATTTCAACCCATACATAATTCTAAAGTTTAATTCCACCGTTGGTCGCATCATAGCGACTTTTTTGTCGGAACCGCAGATAAGGCATGACAAGTGTTTTTTAGTGTTTGAGTTTTACAAAACCCCTTGTTTTCTGCCCAGGTCAAGCAACAGGGGAACCACAAAAAGTCAAAAAGAAAACCAACCGGTAGAAAGGGGAAGAAGACAGATTAACCAACCCATCAACTGAACAGTCAGCCCCTCACCCGTGGCGCTCGCGGGGTACAGGCAGGGGCGCATGCTTGCACTTCACCACGTGTGTCGCACGCACTCTCTGAGGTTGAGATGACGACCCGCGAAATGCTTCCTAGACGGGGCCTTGTGCGCACGCGCGCGCGCATACGTGAGGCTGGAGCGTCTCCA